TCCCACTCCATTCTACGCATTTCACTTGCCACCCTCTCAAAACACAAGGTAAAAACATGTAGTCTTTCATAATATGAAGAAAGTTTCATTTTACAAGTCTGAGGTTCAGTAACATATTGAAAGACCATTTACGCTTCTCATGTCTGGGCTGCAGGTGTACATGAGAGATTACCTGAGCAGGATGAGGAGAATGAGGAAGATGAGACTGTAGATGTGGAGCAAACAGAAAATCTCACAAAATAACTACTAGATATTAGACTGGAAATGCAACGATACCAGCAAGACCGAAAACAGCTACAGTAAGTACATTTGGCTTTGAATAGGATGAATGTGCAGCATTTAGAATTATTTATTATAAAAGAAATATTATAACTATTAATTATTTTTATGGCAATCACTTTAGCCACTTTTAGATCACTTTTGCTGGGAAAAAAATGCCTGTTATATGCTATATAAACCACTATATATATAGTGTTTTATTTATAGCATATAACAGACATTTTTTCCAGCTAAAGTGATCCTGCAATAAAAGTCCCAGATCTACATTACAAACACATTTTCAGACTGGAGCTGTTTTGAAGAACTATGAATCGACTCTCCAGCTGTAGTTTGACTGAATCAACATATTATTTAATTGGGTTTTTTATTCTAGCAAACACAAAGGAAACTTGGCTTTTGGTGTCAATAGTTGTTTCTGCTACGTTTCAGAGACTAATGAGGAGAAAATATTTGGATTCTGCACTTTACAGAGAAAGGAATGTTTTACTTTTCAATTTTGTGATCTAGCAAAAGGGGTTTAACAAATATCTTCAGCTTCACATAAAAAAAAAAACACTGCACCTAATGAGATGTTTTCACTAATATAGTGAAACCAGTTTGTGTTTGTGTGTTTGTATGTATGTGTGTTTAGGACATGGCGTAAGCTCCAAAAGGTCTTGACTAACTGGCTCGAAACAACAGGCATTGAGGGAGAAACTGAGGAACGAGAAAGCATTTTAAAGGAGTTAAGTGAGGTATTTATGGTTAAGTGTCTTTAAATATGGACAGTAAAAATGGAACAAATAACAGTACAAGGTCTTGGATCCTCACTCAGACTATCCCGCCCCCTCACCCAAGATGAGTGTGAAAATAGATTTTAATTATGAAATATAATG